TACTCTTGTAGTTTTTTAAATTTTGTATTAAGGAAGTCTAGTTTTTGTTATAGTTACGGAAAGATAGCATTGTTCAGCTGTGTCAAACATGTTTATAGAATTAAATATGAACATATGAAATTAAATTACTGCTTGTAAGGAAGAATTTTCTGTTTGATGCATGCATAGAATTAAAAGGGGAAAAGGCTATCAAAAAAGAACAAAAAAATAAAAATAAGTTTAATAATGTAACATCATTATTATGTCTTTATTTTTAACATAATAGAAATAAACTTTGGCACAAAAAAACATGGAGAATAATTTATTTTTCCGTAAAAATATCCTATGTGAAATTTTTGGCATCAGTTTAGTCCACTCACACCATGACAATATAATAACAGTAAATATCTTCTTAATGAAACCAATAATAAATTTCTAAATTTTAAATAGAATGTATAAAATTTTATAAGTCACATGGAGGATAATTTATTCAGTACCTAAACACACACATACTAACTTATAAAATGATTTCATTGATTGAATTGCTTTGGATAGTCTTTCAATTATGCATGCAATAGTGATTTCTCTGAAGCTTCGAGGAGTGATAATTGCAATTACCGAAAGCAAACAAGTCACAGAATAAAGTGGCTTCTTTTTATTTTTGAAAGGTCTCATTTCTCAGCTTTGTTGACTGATGAAAAAGTGTTCCCATTTGATTTACATGTCAATAATATTCTCTAAGAATTAGATGTTTTTATCCCCAAGCTATTTTAATGAGCTCCTCGTAAATTATGAGAAATATTTTATTTTTAATTAATATGGAAAATCCTTTTTAATATACAATTGCTTTTAAGCAAGATTAACTACGCACTCCCTCTTAGTCCTGTCTATAGTATATAGAGAATTTTTTTGTCTTATTTATAAATTATGTCATTAAACTTTTATCATAAATTTTTTCTTTTACCCTCAATTATTGAATGTTGGGGAGAGAAAATAAATTATTAAAGTGTATATATATATATATATATTTAATAGGGGTTAAGTTTGAAAACTATTAAACTTATAGATAGAGTTAATAAGTTTTAAAGTTTTTCTTTATTTCGATAAAACATGTTAGAAGTGACTTATAAATAGAACCAGATGAGTACTTTTTTTTGAGTAAAATACTCTGATATCTCCTCTGTTTTACCTTAATTACAAATACCTTGCTTATATTTTTAAAACACATAGGAACAAGAACAACCCCTAGTATAAATATTTACAGAACACAAATATTCCCTCTATTTTTAAGATTACATTTTTATCCTCCCAACCATTAGTTGATCATTAAATTACATATAGTAGACCAAAGTACCCATTCTTTAACTATAGATATTATATAAAAATTATTCAAAATTTTTTAAAAAATTAATGCATATATGTTTTTTTATTTTTTAGTTATATAAACATTTACTCCTTCCCTTAAAAAGTATAAAAAAAATTTTTGTGGAGTTGAATGTTTAAAAATGTAAGGCATTTTTGTTCTTTTGAGGTATAATTATTGCCTTCTTTTCAAAAGTATTTCTATTGATGAATGACTTTATATTTATTGTACGGTGTTTAATATGAAAAGACAGGGTTAGTTTGAAAGTATATAATTATTTTATTGGGATAAAATTTAATTAAAAATACCTTATATTTTTAAATAGAGGGAGTATTTAGTAACATTTTCTAAAACTTCAATTCATAAATTGGCAAAAAAATATTTAAACACTCAGTTAAAAAATTTAGTGAAACAGCGGGATTTAATATAATCAATAACTCAACATAATTTATATTTGGTTTTAGTTTTATTAATTTAACATAAAATTTAATATTATTCATTTAAATATTGATGTAATTATTTAAATTTTTAAAATTGGGAGAGAGAAAGAGTAGACAATTAAATAATACTCTTTGTAAAAGTCGAGGACGCATGCAGCTCTGCTGCTCCACTGGAGGTTGTCCCCTAAGACTCGACTCGACTCTTCGTTTAAGTTTCCATCAAAGTTAAGAGAAATGAACAAAGCACCTACAAAAAACCAGTCGTTATGCACACCGGTCACGAAAATGCAAGGAAGGCTATGTTTTATGAAAACAAATGGGTTGGAATAATCAAAGGACATTATAAAATCAGGCATATTACTTATTGGGAAGAGTAATAAAAAATTATTCTTTCTATCTTAAATTATAAAGCATTTTTGAAAGAGTTTCTCTATCCTAAAATATAAGATACTTTGAATAGATTAAAGTTTTATGAAATACACAATTTCAATATTATCATTTCTCTCTCTATAATTAATTTCCATCCTTTCTCTTTTCAATTTATTAAATGATGAGTATTTTTAAAAATTTATATTTTTATCTTAAAAAGATAAAGTTGTTAAGTGTATTTAATAAGATTTATTAATATATGAGATTGTCTAAAAATATTTTATAATTTTGAAACGGAAGAAGTACAATATTTTAATTCATAAAATTTAATATTTAAGTTTATAGATATATTTTATTTAGTTAACATTAAACTACCTAGCTTAATTTGATCTGAAACTTTGGCATCAGTTTAACTCCATTAATACCATAACAACCAAATAACAATAAATATCTTCATAATGATACCAATAATAAATTCTAACTTTTAAATAAAAGGTAGAAAATTTTATAAGACATAAGTATGGATGATAATTTATTCAGTACGTAACACACACATACTGAATTATAAAATAATTTTATTGATTCAATTGCTTTGGACGGGCTTTCAATTATGCAACAGTGGTTTCTCTGAAACTTCATAGAGTGATAATTACAATCACGGAATCAAACAGGTCACAGAATAAAGTGTCCCATTTTCACAGCTTTGTTGACTGATAAACAAGTGTTACCATTTGGTTTACATGTCAATAATAGAAGGCCTGTGCTATAATATTCTCTAATAATTACATGTTTTTTATCCCTAAACTTTTTTAATGAGCTCCATGTAAACTACGAGAGATATTTTTTTATTTTTCTAGTTAATACGAAAAAAACCTTTTTGATATATGGTTACTTAAATTTTTATATATAACACACTTGATTGGAATTGAAAGGAGCATAGCTTAATATGTAAATGCATTTTTAATACTTTTAAACCATTTTAATTATATTCCTTTACTTTTATTTATAAGATAGAAAGAAAAATTATTAAACATAATTGTTCTTATCTCTATTAGAGGATAAATCTAAAAATTTATTAAATTTTAAAATAAAGTTAATAAAATTTAAAATTTTTTAATAAAAATGTTAAAAAGGACTTGTAAATAAAATATAAAAAATATAACTTACTTTTTTATACACACGCGTCAGTCAGTTGATAAGAATTGAAAGGAGTAGTGTGGATAATAATGAAAATACATTTCAGTATACATATAATCCCAGATTTACTACCTCATTTATTACCTAGCGTCGTTTCGTTTCATGCATGGAACTGGGAGAATGACAATTAAATTTTAAAATAATTTTTTTAAATAATTAGTTACAAATTAAATTAAATTTTAATTAAAAAGATTACAAATTCAAGATTTCAATTGCAATTCCAGATAATGACATTAAAGTTTCAAATGTTGAATTTCGTTTATATTCAAGATTATTTTTTATAATTATTTAAGTTAATATTTACAATTTATTTTTAAATTCTTTTATGAATTGTTGTTAATTTTACTCATTTTATTAAAAAATATAATATATTTTTTGAGGGTTGGATATTTAAAAAAAGTTAAACATTTTTAATCTTTAATAAATAATTATTTCTCTTTTTTTAAAAATATTTTTATTAAATAAATTATTTTATTTTTTTAAGATGAAATATTCTATTAAATAAAAATGAATATAAAAAATAAAATTAATTTAAATATAAATAATTATTTTATTAAAAATAAGATTTAGTTAAAAATTTTTTTTTGTTTTTAAACTATGGAAATATGTATTAGAACCCAACTGATCTCTCTTTATTTAGACTTAAATACTCAAATTATTGTTTTTTAAATTAAAAGAGACCATGCATGACAGATGATTCGGTACCTTTTCTTTTCTCGTTTATCTTTACAGCTGTTTACAACTATTTCCTGCATTCCACAATATTCTAGTGTAGTACAGTTTTTTTTTTTTTACCGTTGATATATGAATTTTTGTATTATTTATTTCAAATTTTATTATTAATATTATTATCATATTAAAATTTACTTATTTTAATTTAATTAAATAAAAATATATTAAATATATAAAAATAAGTACATAATTTTTTTTTAAAAAGTTGTAATTAGATGAGTGTATCATTTTTCTAGTGCAGCACAGTATTTTTTTTGGATGATTTATGAATTTTGATAGAATATATTTTTAATTTTTAATTTTATATAAAGTTTTAATTTGATTATTTAATTTTATAGAGTATCTTTTTAATTCTTTAATTTTAACATTGTTAAATTTAAATGATAATTTTTGTATTAATCATTGTTATTTTTTAAAAATTAAACTTAATTTGTCAATATTTAAACATATTTTATCAATATTTAAAAGTTTAATATAAAAATTTATTAAAATAAAAACATACTTTATAAATTTAGAGACTAAAACGAGATATTATGTAAAGTTAAATGATTAAATATATATTTTTTATTATTTATTGCATAATAAAATTTTATTAATTATTATTATCACATTAAAATTTATTTATGTTATTTTAATTAGATAAAAATAAATTAAATATATAAAAATAAGTACATAATTTATTTAAAAAATTGTAATTAAATGCGTGTGTTTACGCGTGGGTCTGCTGAGACCGTGCATGACAGATGATTGTACCTTTTCTTTTCCCATTTATCTTTACAGCTGTTTACTACTGTTTCCTATGTTCCTCACTTCCAGAATTTTCCTGCAAAGTGAAATCAAACTTACATTAAGCCAGCTATTTTTATTTACATAGCAACCTATCTCGTAGTCGGTCGGGGGGAAAAAAAAACTGTCTAGCTTAAAAAAAAAAAACTACCATTAAATTTGCTCTCGATATTACAGAAAAGAATGAACTCTAGTGTAGTATATTCCTCATTCCTAATAAAAAAAAAGGAACTCACTTTTTTAGTATAATTCTTCAGAAAATTCAAACATGGTGGCTACCAAACTTCCAGTCTCCAGTCAATTAATGGTACGTTGCAATTAATTTCCACTTGTTAGTATGATTGATCGATCTACATGTCTTGACCTTATACGGGTTCGTTTTTACAGCCCTTATGCTTTGTTATTTCTGAGAACATCCTTGGAAATGATTCATACTTTATATAATCAATTAAAGTTGTTCGTTGCTTTTCTAACAGCCCTTCATTATTCTCTGCCTTCCATTTTCATCCTTTCCAGATGATATGATCCAAATGCTGAAAAGCAAATCCACCTTTTGGAGGGGGAGGGATAGGAAACGTATGAGAGGGAGAGAGGAAGCTAGACATCATGACAGGACGAGCATCAACCTCTTCTTCCTTCCAATATCATTTCACCTATGATGTCTTTCTCAATTTTAGAGGTAAAGATACTCGTCCTGGTTTCACTGGAAGTCTATATCATGCTCTAGATCAAAAGGGCATTCACACCTTTTTTGATGATGAGGAAATAAGAAAAGGCGATGAAATTGCTCCAAGACTTGACAGAGCAATTGAAGAATCTAGGATGGCCATTTGTGTGTTTTCTAAGGACTATGCTTCCTCAACATTTTGCCTCAACGAACTTGTTAAGATCCATCAATCTATTAAGAAAAATGGACGACTAGTTTGGCCCATTTTTTATGATGTGGAACCTGCTGAAGTACGACATCAAAAAGGGAATTATGGACAAGCACTGAGTGTGCATAAACAGGATTTAAGGGCTGATGAAGAGAAGCTGCAAAGTTGGAAGCTTGCATTGCGTGAAGTAGCTAATCTTTCTGGCACACATGTCACTCCTGGGTAATTCTCACAACTTATATTCCTATTTTTCTTCTTTTTTACCTAGCTAGCATATGAAGTAAGAATTTGTTAGACTTGACATTGATTTTTGTACTTGTCCAGGCATGATTATGAATATAAAACCATTGAAAGGATTGTGAAAGAAATATTTTGCAAAATCAACAGGGGTCCTTTACATGTTGCTGAATATCCAGTTGGATTAGATATTCGTTTCCAAAAGTAAACTCTCTATTGCAAATTGGGTCTCATGATGAGGTCATTATGGTAGGAATTTACGGAATCGGGGGATCAGGTAAAACAACATTAGCACGGATTGTGTATAACTCAATAGCAGATAATTTGAAGGTTTGTTCTTTCTCCATGATATCAAAGAAGAGAAACTTGGGTTAGAAAGAATGCAAGAGAGAATGCTTTCAAAGATTTTAGGAGTCGACATAAAAATTGATTATGCTAATGAAGGAGTTACAGTAATTAAAGAGAGACTAAGACAAAAGAGAATTTTGTTGATTCTTGATAATGTTGATAAGCTAGAGCAATTACAAAAAATTGCCGGCCCTGGTAGTTGGTTTGGCTCTGGTAGTAGGATCATTATAACAACAAGGGACAAACATTTACTTAAAAGACATAGGGTTGAAAGAAAATATGAGATGGAGGCACTCTCTAATAAAGAATCTCTTCAATTATTAAGTTGGAATGCCTTCCAAAGTGCACAAGTTGATCCAAGTTACAATGAAGTTGTGGATCGTGTGATTCACTATGCCCATGGTCTTCCATTGGCCCTTGAAGTAATAGGCTCTCACTGTTTGGTATGAGTATAGAGGATTGGCAATCTGCTATAAATATGTATGAGCGAATTCCTCAAGACGACATTCAACGAATACTAAAAGTAAGCTATGATGGCTTAACTGAAGTTGAAAAGGATATTTTTTTGATATTGCTTGTTTCTACAAAGGAGATCCGTGGAAACAAGTCAAAGATATGGTGGAATATGCTCATGGTTTTGATCCACATTATGGCATTCAAGTGCTGGTAAACAAATGCCTCATAAAAAAATAATGCATCTGGTCATATTGATATCCACGACTTGATACAAGATATGGGAAGAGAAATTGTTCGTCAAGAATCACCAAAGGAGCCTGGGAAAACGCAGCAGATTATGGTCCCATGAAGATATCATGCATGTTTTGAAAGAAAATACAGTAAGTAAAAACTAATCTAAATGATATACATTGGATTTTGATTTTTGTTTCCACTATTTCTTGATGACAACATTAGTGATGAGCTTTGCATTTTTTCCCCCCGTTCCTTATATGAAATTATTAACTCATGCTCTTAGCTTACAAATTGAATGCATAATATTCACAAATGCGAATTTTTTATGACAACGTTACTGATGAGCTTTTGCAACTTTTTTTGTTCCTTATGTGAAATTATTAACTCATCCTCTTAGATTAAAATTGTTCAATCAAATGTAATGTTTTTGAAAACAAGAAAAAAAATTAAAAACACAATTTTCAGACGTTTTTATTTATTTTTTTAAAAATAAAAATAAGAACAATTTAAAAAAAATTAAATCCAAAATACTTATTCAAACAAGTTTTATTTTTTTTTATTTTTAGAAGCAAAAAATAATTTTTGAAAACTGAAACTAAACAAGCCTCTACTTTCTTTCTTTTCTAGTCAAAGATAAGGTTTACTGTTATTTTCTTCATGTTACCTATTATGCTTTTAACTTAGGAAGTGCATGCTTATATTGAATGAATGACTGAAACAAATATAATGATGATGCTAAATGGAATGGTCTTCGAGAAAACTTATAAAGGAATAAACTTTATAACTAGTAACACTGACAGGACCTATTTTTGATGTTTAATTTGTTCCTCTATTTGAAATGTCACACTTGTTTTGATTTCAATTAGGAAAATATTTTTCTTTGTTCTGCAATATTTCACAATAGTTGTATTCATTTAACAGTAAGATTTTTATTGGCTTGATTAGGTAAAAAAATCGTAAACTTGAAATCATAATTAAAGAATGCGTCCTAAAACATAGAGCTAAATACAACAAATGGTCTTTTTTAAAATTAGAAAAATACCAAAAAAAAGGAGAAGAAGCTAAAAGTCAAATATCTAATAATGAATGGCTTTTGATTTATATAAATTTTGGTTTTGTTTTATAACAGTATGAAAATTTTGATTAGGACTTCATTATTATTTTCCTCTTTGTTTCTTGATTTTGTTTTCCACTGCTTCATGATTTTGAGGAACTGCGAGTAACAATAATTGGGATATGTTTTTTCTTTTCTTCATAATCTTATTGTTCCTTCCATAATTCTTAATTTTGGTGGCATCAATATTTATGAGATTTAATTTTCCCCCTCATAAGTTGTTCCTGTTTTAGAGAATAACACATTAAATATATATTATATAGATAGATAAACTTTCCCCCCCGTTTTGCCTTATAATTTTATTGTTCTTTTCACCATTTTTTTGAAGGAATCACTGTTCATGAAATTTACATTTATTTTCCTTATTTTCTATTAAGCCGTTAACTTACGCCATTTATTTCCATGAATTGCATGAGTATTATTTCTTTTCGACTTTTAGTTTCTGGTCTTGGTCCTCTCACACTGTTATTGTACTTTAATCTTTTACTTTAATACAATATTTTTTTCAAAAAAATTGAAATCAACACTATGTTGGATGAAATGGTTTTTGAGATTTTTTTTTTTAAAGTACCATGTCAACAAAGATTTACTTGATCAATGAATAACATTGTGTCGTGTTTTTAACCACGTGTTTTTAATTTCTATTAAGAAAATAATCCTTCCTCCGAAGGATAATGACATTAAAGTCTCAAAACAATAAATTTTTGATAGCTAGGTCCTAAACAAGTATTTTTGTAAAATTAAATGTAAATATGTATTTAGACAGTATAAATTCAAGAGTTTTAATATTAACAAGATATTTAAATTTCAAATATAACTTTCAATTTGGAATTAGGATTTCTATTTACAACTATTTGAATAAATATCTACAACTTATTTTCAGAAATTTTGTGAGAGACCTAACTGTTTTAAATTATCTATTTTGAGACTTTATATTGTCACTCTCCCTTTCCTGTCTATTGTTTTATCGGACTAAAATCAAAATCTGATGAAATCATAGGAACTAATGATTGTATTTTTCCTTAATGTTATCAAGCAGTCATTTAACGATTGATTTATGTTGGCTTAGAAATGAATATATAAAATTGAAATTATATTAAAGAATTCATAAAAAAGAAAAGACAAGTGTGTAGCTAACGATGTATGATTTTTATTATTGCCATGTTTAGGATGTCGCTGATAATTTGTTAGGACAATTTTTTATTCCCTATTCTAATTTTATCATCTATTTATTTGCTTTGCTTGAAGGGACAAATAACGTTAGGATCATAGCTTCAGAAAATGTTTCCCAATATACAGAAGTGAGTTGGGACGGAAGAGCCTGGAGAAAAATGAAAAATCTCAAAATTCTTAGTTTAAAGAATTTAAAGTTTCAGAAGGCCCCAAATATCTGCCTGACAGTTTAAAAGTGCTAGAATGGGGAGAATATCCTTCATCATCTCTGCCACACAACTTTCATGCAAGGGAACTTTTTGTAATGAATGTTGCCACATCGTGTTAAAGTCAGTGAAATTTAAGGTAGGACCTCATCTTATGTGTATTATTTGGATATAAGTAAGCCCTTTATTTGATGATGTTGATTTCTTTAATTAGACAATTTTTTATGTTTTATCTTCTGCAGGACGGCCTTGAATCTAAGTGTTTTGAAATCTTAAAGGATGCCAAAATATTACACAAATACCTGATTTATCTGGCATCTCAAATTTAAAGGAATTAAATCTTTTGGGATGCATGAATTTAATTGCCATTGATGATTCGGTTGGAGAATTAGCAAGACTGAAAGCTTGGATGTGTCCAACTGTGCCAAACTTAAAACCTTTCCCCGTTGTATCAAGTCACTATATCTTGAATTCCTCGAACTTGGGGGTTGCTCAAGCTTGAAGTACTTTCCAGAAATACTATCAAAAGCGCTACTAACAGTGTGTATGCGGGGTAGTGGGATAGAAAAACTGCCTGCATGCATAAAAGAATGCACGTCTTTGGAGCAACTTTGGTTGGAAGAGTGCGAGCATCTGCAAGAAGTGGAAGGGATTCCACCAAACCTGGAATTGTTGGATGCAAGCGATTGCATATCGTTGAGTTTAGAGTCGAGAAACTTATTGTTGAGTAAGGTCATTAATTTTTCTATCTTTGGAATTTCTTTTTAATATTTACACATCCATTAATATTTATGAGACTCTCCTATACACACACACACACACTCTTCTCTCTCTCTCTCTCTCTCTCACACACATTTCTTTTGTTTAACAGGAAGTAATTGGGGCTGGAATAAGCAAAGAGGGGGATTCTTTTGTCAAAAAATTCGTCATGTCGGGATCAAGCATCCCAGAATGGATGGATGTCTGTAAAAAAGGAGGATCTATTTCTTTTTGGTTTCGGTACTCCTTTCCACCTCTTTTGTTTTTGTGCTCTTCTCAATCCAAGTTCTTATCTTCATTCTTCTATCATATGATAGCTTGAATGGAATGCCATTACATCCGTATATCCACAGCACCATGTTCAGCAATAATTCCCGAAGTAAAGAGGACTATGTGCTTCTATATGTACCGGAAGGGGACCCACTTGATGCAAGGAGACGTGTCCTTAAAGATGGTGTGTGGAATTATGTACAGATTTCAGTGTGGGGCGGCTATTATCCGTATTGGCCTGGTATAAAGGAGAGTGGAATTATATGATAAGAGAACATTGTAACATGGAAGATATCCGATTCACTATTCCCTTAAATTTGGATTCCCTGAATATTGATCAAGGTACGTATACTATTTATAAATAGATTAATTGCATTAAAATTTTATGTACTTGACTAAAGCACTTCGTTTCTTTTTTCTATGTAAACATTTAAAATTAACTCAAATATTCTGAAATGAAGGGAGTGCACTATGTGTAAGAAGTTTATATATATATATATATAAATTATTTTATACCTTCAAAGTTGGGGAAAATTCACAGATTAAATTGCTTTGTAAATTTCATTATATTATAGCTTGTCTCCATAATGTCATTGTAGGTGATATATGAATTTATTTAGTTTACATTATATTACTCAAACACGTCAGTAGTCCATATTCTATATA